GGAAACTTCTTAACCTACATAAAGCACAGGTCGCTTGTGTGTTGAGAGACGTAGAAGAAAAAAACACACACACACACACACGAAGGAAGGGTTTTTGTTTTCTTTTATTCTGAGAGTTCTTTTATGAGGACGAGTGGGGGGAGAGTGGGGGGTTAGGAGAGAGGGAAGGGGGATGAGGGGTGGGTGGGGGGTTGTGAGGGAGGGATGGGGGTATTGTGAGGGAGGGATGGAGGGGGTTGTGGGGGAATGGGATGAGGGGAGAAGGGGTGGTTTGGGAGGGGTTTTGAGATGCTGAGAGGGAGAGAGAGAAAGAGAGAGGGAGAGGGAGAGATAGATAGATAGATAGAGAGAGAGGGGGAGTAATAGAGAGAGAGATGGGGAGGGAGGGAGGGTGGGAGGGAGAGGGAGAGGGAGAGAAAGAGAGAGAGAGAGAGAGAGGAGAGAGAAGAGAGAGAGAGAGAGAGGAGAGAGAGAGAGAGAGAAAGTGAGAGAGAAAGAGAGAGAGGGAGGAAGGGAGGGAGGGAAGGAGGGAGAGATAGATAGATAGATAGATAGAGAGAGAGGAAGGAAGGGAGGGAGGGAAAGAAGATAGATAAATAGAGAGATAGAGAGAGAGAGGGAATGTGTGTGTGTATGTACATACGTTCACTGATCTACCTCTTGTATGCATCTATCATCTTTTCCGTATCTCTATCACCTTGTCTATCTGTGTTCTACAGGCAAATGCACACCTATATCCATATGTACCAAATACCCACATATTTAGAACTTAATTTTCACACACACTCCGCATGACCGCCTAACTGTCCTTGCATGACGACGCATCACAACCTCAATTTTCAATGGCTTCTGAAGAAAAAGAAAAAAATCTTAAACTTTGAGGCAACTTTGAACGAAAATAATTAAGTGTGGCCTTCAGTTCAAGTGAGTAAGTTGGTTCTCTATGAATCTGTGACGTGGAAATGATGAAATCTACGAACCTAAGAAGAAAATTATAATAACGCTTATGAATGGAGAAAGGATGGTAGAGAGGAAGAAGGCAAAAGAAAATAATAATGATAGTAACGAAGGTATGAAATCAAGGAGAGAGGAAGGGGGATGATAAAAATAGTAAAAAATGAAGATTATATAACGGTATTGGTTGGCTGTTCTAATATATATTGATCTGTTTAAGGACAACTATATCCTTAATATAATAATAATGATATTATTAATAATGAAATTGAAGATAATAATAATGATGATATCAATAATAACGATAATAAAGATAACAATAATAATGACATTAATAATGACATTAATAATAAAAAGGAATAAAAAAAAAATACGCATCACTAAAAGAAAAAAGAAAAAAGGAAAACGGAAAGACAGGAAGGAAAGGGGGGAGAGAAGACGAAGAGAGAAAAAAAAATACCCGAAGATATAAAAGGACCGCTCCCCCCCCCACCCCCCACCCCGGCCACTTCCAAGTGGAGTGGCGGCGCGAAGAGGCAACTCAAGACACTCGGCCGTTTTTACTCCATCTTACTTTTTCTTAACCTTTATTCGTCGATTCATCATCTTCAGCATCGTCCTCATTATTATTATCATTATTATTACTATTATTATTTTCATTATAATCCTCATTATTATTGTTATTATTATTTTCATTATTATCCTTGTTATTATTATCCTTATTATTGTTATCATTATCATTATTATTATTACCGTTATTGTCGTTGTTGTTATTATCATAATCATTATTATTATTGCTGTTATTATTATTATTATTTGTATCGTTAGTATTCGTATTATCATTATCATCATTATTATCATCCTTGTTGTCATTGCCATTATCATTATTAATACTATTATCATAATCATCACCATCATCATTATCATTACTTTATCATTATTATTATCATCACGATCATCATTATCACTATTTTATCATTATTATTATCATCACCATCATCATTATCATCATTTTATCATTATTATTATCATTCACCTCCTCCTCCTCTTTCCTTTATTCTTGCCCTTCCTCTTACACATAAGAGAAGGAAGCATGGGAGAAAGAACGAAAAGATAATTGGAGAAGAAGAGGGGAGAAAGAAGCAATATAATAATCATAAAATAAGTGGACAGGCAACAAAGGAAGAAAATTCTCTTTCTCTCCCTCTTATTCTTATTCTTATTTTCATTTCTATTATCGTAATGGAAATGAAAAAGGATGATGGTGATTTTTAAAAGAATAATGATAATAATAATATTAATGATAATATTGATAATGATAATAATCGTTATCCTTATCAGTACGATTATTATGATCATTCTTCTTATCATTATTAATATTACTATTATTATTATCATCATTATTTTCCTTATTATTAATATTCTTATCACTTTTATTATAATAATCATTATTGTTATTGTTATTATTATTATCATTATTATTAATATAGTAATTAATTTTATTTTTATTACTATCATTATTACTAATATCATTATCATTATCATC